CCACAACAAAACCCATTTGTGTGGATTCACAGAGGCCACAAAGAAGAACCAAGAATGTTCCTCAATGGAGAGGCCACTGATCATGAAGAATGGGCTAAGATTCCTCCGGAACGCTGCCAGAAGCTGGTGCCTGGCTAGGCATCTCATCTGCAGCAAAAGGGTGCCCTCCGAAGGACTAAAAATGCTTGCCATGAAGGGGCTAAATAATTTTGAGAGTGCAGAATTCACTACAAGTTGCATTTTCAGTTTAATTTGGAGGGACCACTTCAAACACTCGTTGTGTTGACCTATTTTTTTTTTATTTGTTCATTGCAAACAGCTGAAAGTCTGTAAGTTTTGACGATACAGTGGTGCCTTGACTTATGAACGTCCCAACATACGACCACTTTGAGTTGCAACGAGCTCCGACCACAAAATTTTGCTTCGACTTGTGGTCGGTGCTTCGAGTTGCAACTGGAAAAGGGCAGGGGAAAAGGTTGCTAACTGTTGGTCGGCGAAGTGGCTGCTTCTTTATAGGTCTTTCACCCCAATGGTTAGAGTGAGTGCATCGGAGGAGGTTTCTGCCTGCCTGGAGTTGCTTTGTGCTCCTGAGTAAGTACATTTACTTTGTTTTGCAGGGTGGGTTTGGGTTTGGGGGGGTTATGTTTCTGTGCTGTGATTTTGTGTGTGTTTTGGTGTGTTTTTTCCCAGCCCCATGGCATTCCACTGGGGCTGGCTGTGTGTGTGGGGGGGTTGTTTTTGTGTATTTTTTCCCAGCCCCATCGTGTTCCGCTGGGGCTGGCTGTGTTCTTTTGGTTTTGGTAATTTTTTTCTGGCTCCGATGCGTTCTGACAGGGCTTGCATCATTTTTTTGTTTTGGTTTTTTGATAGTTTCTTTTTCTGGGGCTTGCAGTGTTTTATTTTTATTTTATATTATTTTTTGTTTTTTCTTCTGGAACGGATTAATCGTGTTCCAATGCATTCCTATGGGAAATGGTGCTTCGACTTATGGCCATTTCCAGTTACGCCCATCTTCTGGAATGGATTATGGTCGTAAGTCGAGGCACCACTGTAAACCTGATTTGCAATGGGGACTTAATAATTTTGATTACAACTGTAGATTGTATAGATGGCTACTCAAGCCCCCCTGCATAACTGGGCTTCGGATGCTTTTTATTCATTGCTGTTAATACTTATTACTGTTTAATTCACTGTATTTTTATCTAAGTTTTTCATGTAAATATTCTTATATTTGTCTTGATTTCATTTACTGAGGAAACAATACAATATTATATTAGTACGTCAATTGGAATCTATGATTCTTATGCTGAAATAATATTAAAGATACCACAATTTAGCATTTTGTTTGTAATTTGCAAACACATCATTGGATCATAGCCACTTAGGCTTAGAGGTAAAGAGACAGTCAGCAGGCTGTAACCACGACACAGGAAGTTGTATTTGGACGGAAGGAATTGTCAAAAGGACTACACTGGGATTAAAAACAACAACCAAATTCAAATCACATGTTTTTTGGCAGTGAGGATCCTATTGGGGTCTGTGTGCTGATCCAGCTGGAGATGCTGCTGAGGGACTCTTGAGTCTCACTCCTCCCTCAGCGAATAGGCCCCCCTATGAAATTTGTCCTACTGCCCCCCCACCCCCACCAAGAATCTCGATGCTGAGCCAGGCGTGGTAGGTCCCATCCAGATAGGGGGCCACGCTCCTGTGGAAAGTGCCTTCCTGCAGGACCTCTCCCTCTTTCCTCCAAGTGACGTCAATCTCCTTGGGGTAGAAGCCGTAAGCCTGGCAGACGAGGGGCTCCCTGTCATCGTAGCCCTCCTCTCGTGTCACCTTCCCCACAGGACGATCTGCAAAACACAGCAGGGCTGGAATGAAGATGGAGCCCCTTCCTGTGACTGGCAGGATGGTGGCTTGGCTTTGATCCCGTGGGACTCTTCTGTTCTTCCCCACAAATCCCTCCCCCCCCCGGAGGACGCTTGAGAGATTTTCTTTTTCAGCGAAAAGGAAGGGAATGAGCAGAGCTTTTACTGGTATCCTGAAATGACCCAAAAAGACTCAGCTGCCACAGAGATAGGGTGTGAAAGGCAGACATACCTTGTAGCTGAGGGACAAGCAAAACTGGAATCATTTTAATATTTGCCTTACAGGAAGGCTCTCTGCACTGGCCACTTTTTGCTCTCTCTCATCAGTTCCTTTGCTGGCGTTTGTTTGTTTGTTTGTTTGTTTGTTTGTTTATTTAATTTATTTAATTTTTTATTTTATTTTATTTTATTTTATTTATATCATGCCTATCTGGTCGTGTCAGGACCACTCTAGGCGACTAACAACATTAAAATCAAACAGTATCTCCTTCATGGAATGCTGCCTCATTGTGGTGAAGGGGCTTGAGTAACTCAGAGAAGCTATGGGCTATGCTGTGCAGGAACACCCAAAACGAACAGGTCACAGTGGAGAGTTCTGACTAAACATGCTTGCAGGCCACTCCTGTAACTTTGTCAAGAAAACTCCATGCACAGAAACCAAGGGCTAAAAGATATGACACTGGAAGATGAGCCTCTCAGATCGGAAGGCGTCCAACATGCTACTGAGGAAGAGTGGAGGACAAGGACAAGTATCTCCAGAGCTAATGAAGTGGTTGGGCCAAAGCCAAAAGGACGCTCAGCTGCAGACGCGCCTGGAAGTTAAAGGAAAGTCCAATGCTGCAAAGAAAAATACTGCATAGGAACTCCAATGCTGCAAAGAAGAATACTGCATAGGAACCTGGAATGTAAGATCTATGAACGTTGGGAAGCTGGAGGTGGTCAAACAGGAGATGGCAAGAATAAACTTTGACATCCTGGGCATCAGTGAACTAAAATGGACAGGAATGGGCGAATTCAGCTCAGATGATTATCATATCTACTATTGTGGGCAAGAATCCCGTAGAAGGAATGGAGTAGCCCTCATAGTCAACAAAAGAGTGGGAAAAGCTGTAATGGGATACAATCTCAAAAATGATAGAATGATGTCAATACGAATCCAAGGCAGACCTTTCAACATCACAATAATCCAAGTTTATGCACCAACCAGCATTGCTGAGGAGACTGAAATTGAACAATTCTATGAAGATTTACAACACCTTCTAGAACTGACACCAAAGAAAGATGTTCTTCTCATTCTAGGGGACTGGAATGCTAAAGTAGGGAGCCAAGAGATAAAAGGAACAACAGGGAAGTTTGGCCTTGGAGTTCAGAACGAAGCAGGACAAAGGCTAATAGAGTTTTGTCAAGAGAATAAGCTGGTCATCACAAACACTCTTTTCCAACAACACAAGAGGCGACTCTATACATGGAAATCACCAGATGGGCAATATCGAAATCAGATTGATTATATTCTCTGCAGCCAAAGATGGAGAAGTTCTATACAGTCAGCAAAAACAAGACCTGGAGCTGACTGCGGTTCTGATCATCAGCTTCTCATAGCAAAATTCAAGCTTAGACTGAAGAGATTAGGAAAAACCACTGGGCCACTCAGGTATAATCTAAACCAAATACCTTATGAATACACAGTGGAAGTGTAGAACAGATTTAAGGAACTAGATTTGGTGGACAGAGTGCCTGAAGAACTTTGGATAGAGGCTCGTAACATTGTCCAGGAGGCAGCAATGAAAACCATCCCCAAGAAAAGGAAATGCAAGAAAGCAAAGTGGCTGTCCAACGAGGCCTTTGAAATAGCAGAGAGGAGAAGGGAAGCAAAATGCAAGGGAGATAGGGAAAGTTACAGAAATTTGAATTCAGACTTCCAAAGAATAGCAAGGAGAGACAAGAGGGCCTTCTTAAATGAACAATGCAAAGAAATAGAGGAAGATAACAGAAAAGGAAAGACCAGAGATCTGTTCAGGAAAATTGGACATATTAGAGGAACATTTTGCGCAAAGATGAACATGATAAAAGACAAAAATGGGAGGGACCTAACAGAAGCAGAAGACGTCAAGAAGAGGTGGCAAGAATACACAGAGGAATTATATCAGAAAGATGTGGATATCCCGGACAACCCAGACAATGTAGTTGCTGACCTTGGGCCAGACATCCTGGAGAGTGAAGTCAAGTGGGCCTTAGAAAGCCTGGCTAACAATAAGGCCAGTGGAGGTGATGGCATTCCAGTTGAACTATTTAAAATCTTAAAAGATGATGCTGTTAAGGTGCTACACTTAATATGCCAGCAAGTTTGGAAAACTCAACAGTGGCCGGAGGACTGGAAAATATCAGTCTACAGTACATCCCAATCCTGAAGAAGGGCAGTGCTAAAGAATGCTCCAACTACCGTACAATTGCACTCATTTCACACGCTAGCAACATTATGCTCAAAATCCTCCAAGGCAGGCTTCAGCAGTATGTGGACCAAGAACTTCCAGAAGTACAAGCTGGATTTCGAAGGGGCAGAGGAACTAAGACCAAATTGCTAACATGTGTTGGATTATGGAGAAAGCCAGAGAGTTCCAGAAAAACATCTACAGTGGTGCCTCGCTTAGTGACGTTAATCCATGCAGCAAAAATTGCTGCTAAGTGATTTTGTCGCTAAGCGATATTAAAAAGCCCATAGAAACGCATTAAAACCTGTTTCATGTGTTCCTATGGGCTAAAAACTGACCTTAAAGCGAAGATCCTCCATACAGCAGCCATTTTCGGTGCCTCTAAAGCGAGGAATCCGTGCGAAAACACAGTGGGCAGCCATTTTGTTTACCCGGTGGCCATTTTGGAACCACCAATGATCGGTAAGCGAAACAGGGAACCAATCATCGCAAAGCAAAAAAACCCATAGGAAACATCGCAATCGCAAAATATGTGTCACTGTGCGGTTTCGTCGCTAAATGGAGGCACCACTGGACTTCTGCTTCATTGACCATGCAAAAGCATTTGACTGTGTGGACCACAGCAAAGGTATGTCCAGATTTAAACGTGCAAAAATGTCCTAGGTTTCTGGAATGTGCGGTATGGCAGAAATGACGCAAAATATGTGTCACTGTGCGGTTTCGTCGCTAAATGGAGGCACCACTGGACTTCTGCTTCATTGACCATGCAAAAGCATTTGACTGTGTGGACCACAGCAAAGGTATGTCCAGATTTAAACGTGCAAAAATGTCCTAGGTTTCTGGAATGTGCGGTATGGCAGAAATGAAAAGTAAAAAAGGTTTCCTGTGAATAAAAACAGTGACAGAATGTCAACTAGGACAGTTTAGTTCGTGCATGCAGATTTGGCAGGACCATTCAAATCCAGTGCAGGAGGGGCCAAATTCATTCTACTAATTGTTGATGATTTTTCAACATTTTCCTGTCTTTATTTGTTAAAAGCAAAGAGTGAAGTATGTGCAAAGTTAAAACAATGGGTAGCAATGATTGAGAGGTGTTTTCCCCATAAGTGAAGTCAGTTTCAGACTGACAGGGGTGGGGAATTCCTGGGTCAAGATTTTCAGCAGTGGCTGGAAAGCAGGGGCATAATTCACAGAAAGACCAACCCTTATTGTTCTGCAGAAAATGGTGTTGCAGAGTTGTTCTTTCTGTGAACAGGGTACAGGTTCTAGGATGGAGGTAACAAAATAGTAATTTCAAGAAGTGCCAATTTTGAAATACACTCAGGGTGGAAGGCAATTCACACTAATTCAGAGATATTTATACCTTTTAACACTGAGGTGCGGGCTCAAGCTCAGACAAATGGTCAAGGTTCAGCTATGCCAAAGGTAGTTGACAAAGATGCACCCAAAGCCACAGACATCTCCTGTAAAGCGTAAAATTGAACAGGAAGAAGATGCAGAGAATGTGGCACAAGAGACTGAGGAAAGTGAGCAAGTGATCATTCCTCGCAGGTCAAATAGAGCAAACAAGAGTGTACCACTAGAAAGATTTGTAGTAAATGAAATCAGAGTATGCCAGGTAGGCTGTGAGCTTCAAAGTTATAAAGAAATACTAGAACTGCCAGAGGATGAGCAGGAGAAATGGAACTCAGCAATGGATTCAGAGTTCGAATCACTTGTAAAGCAGAAAGTGTTTGAGATATGTGATTTACCATCATCGCATAGTGCAATAGGCGCAAAGTGGGTGTTCTGTAAAAAGGTGTTGTCAGGTGGCACATTGAAGTACAAGGCAAGATTAGTGGCACAGGGTTTTTCACAAGAAAAGTCCATTTCTTATAACAAGACATATGCACCCACATCCAGAGCAGAATCTTTGCGATTGGTATTATCTCTAGCAGCGAAACAAAATTGGGTAATTAATCATTTTGACCGTGACACCCGTATATCTGAATGCACCATTACAAGAAATTCTTTACATGAAACAAGCACATGGATATGAATCTAATAAACCCCAAAAGGTCTACAGACTAAAAAAAAGGCCCTTTATGGATTGAAACAAAGAGCAAGATGTGTTTGGATAAAACAGGTTTTAAGAAAAGTGTGGCAGACCAGTGTGTCTACACACAAAAGGGTCTGGAGATGAGTTCATGATATTGTGAAGGAGAGCAGTGTAGTGTGCCATCCTCTGATGAGAGCAGACAAAAGATAACAACTGGTTGCGCGGTGGGGGAGTTGATTAAATTAGGAGAAACTGGGAGGAATAAGGCGGTGGAGATATTCCTAGCAGAGAGTAGACAAGCAAGAAAAGGGGAGGAGCTGGAATTGATATGAGATGGGACGAGACTGTAAAAGATGAGGGTGAGTAGAAAAAGGGGGTAAAACGTGATGTTGAGAGAGAAGACAAGGGCATTCAGACAGAAGAGTTACAAAGGTATGGAACAATCGAACTGGTCTTTGAGTTCCCGAACCCCAGAACCGGTAGGGGTTCGTTGCCCGATTCCCTAATTCAGTAGAGAAGGAGAAGATAAAGCCTAAAGTGGGATGGAGTATGATAGCACCACGATCACAGGGCATAGGGAAGAAGATGACGTACACTGGTACCACCAGCTACCTCCCATTGCGGGACAATCTGTGCAGCTTTGAGCTTCCCGACATGGCCCAAGCCCGAACAAGGTCCGCAAGGGACGACGAAGAAATGAATGCTGGAGGGAGTTCAAATGTGACACGTGTTAAGAGTTATAAGTTCCTACCTGAGTTGAGTTGTTTGGATCCACTCTATGTTAACAACCAAGAAGTGAAAAGAAATAAAGAAACCATGTTTATACCATGATCTTCATCTCCGACCATTTTTCCCCACTGAAAAGAAGGGTCCGCCCCTCTTAGAGAAAGAACCCAATCACAGATATTATTGGCTTACATTGATGATCTGTATATTACAGCCAAGTCAAAGAAATTAGTACAACAATTTGCACAGCAACTTGGTGAACATTTAAAGTTGAAAGATCTGGGAGAAGTATAGTACTATCGAGTCATAGATATACTGAGGAACAAAAAGGGTGATATTTTCTTAAACCAGAAAAGAAAAATAGAACAGTTGATAACAAAATTTGGATTAACAGATGCAAAGATAACTAATCACCTATGTCACCAGAATTCCTGAAAAACACATGTGATGAATGTTTTCAAAATGTGGAATTATATCAGTTTGGAATTGGAAGTTTGTTATATCTAGCGCTATGGACACGTCCAGATATTGCATTTGCAGTAGGCTATCTGAGCAGGAAAGTTGCTAAACCTACATAAAGCAATTGGCAAGGTTTAAAAAGGGTTCTAACATACCTAAAAGGGACCGTGGATTATTGTTTAAAATTGCCTAAAGATGGACCAGAAACACCTGTTATGTATGCAGATAAAGTGGTGCCCTGCATGACGACGATAATTCATTCCGTGAAAACTGTTGTTTTAGCGAAATCATCGTCACGCAAAAATCCTTTCCCCATTGGAATGCATTGAAACTCGTTTAATGCGTTCCAATGGGGAAATACCTCATCGTTTTATGAAGATCGCCCATAGGGAAGCCATTTTGCAAGCGCCGATCAGATGTAAAAACGGCTGTCCTGCGAAGCATGGGTCCGGAAAACACAGAGCAGCCATTCTGCGAAGCCGACGATCAGCTGTAGAAATCGTCGTCTTACGAACAAATGGTCCACGAAGCACGACCAAATCAACGTCCAGTGAAAATTGCCCATTGAAATCACTGTTTTGCAAATTGTTATAGCGATCGCAAAATATCATCGTTATGCGGATTCGTCATTTAGCAGGTTTGTCGTCTAGCGAGGTAGCACTGTAGTTTGTAACAGGTTATGTAATTCAATATGCAAATACAGCAATAGGCTGGAGAACCAGAAAACACACAATAATTGTGGTAGCTACAACAGAAGCAGAATTTGTCACATTATATGGTTGAAGTTATATGGTTATATGGTTGAAGTTATATGGTTGAAGCAGTTACTCAAAGATGTACAGGTAAAATGTGAAATATCAATTACTATTTTTGAAGATTCATAGTCCTGTATTGCAATGGCTAATTCAGAAAGTATAAAAGCCAGGACTAAACATGTGGATGTAAAATACCAAAACATGAAAAATATAATACAAACAGGAGTAATTGAATTAAGATATTGTGAAACAGAAAAGAATCTAGCTGATATGTTTACAAAGCCTTTAAGTATTCAAAAACATGAACATATGGTAAACAGGTTGAGAATGCAAAAATACACCAAGTATAAAAGTTTGTATGAATATGCAAAACCACTTGTCATAGCTATCCACAGGAAATCTTCGAAGGGGTGTCAGAATATTGATCTGAATACTAGAGAATGATGTCTCTTTAAGAAAACAACCTTATCTATCTCCTGAGAAATCTATATGTGGGACAGGAAGCAACAGTCAGAACTGGATATGGAACAACGGATTGGTTCAAAATTGGGAAAGGAGTACGACAAGGCTGTATATTGTCCCCTGGTTTATTTAAGTTATATGCAGAATACATCATCCGAAAGGCTGGACTGGAGGAATCCCAAACCGGAATTAAGATTACTGGAAGAAATATCAACAACCTCCGATATGCAGATGATACCACTCGGCAGAAAGCGAGGAGGAATTAAAGAACCTCTTAATGAGGGTGAAAGAGGAAAGTGCAAAAAATGGTCTGAAGCTCAACATCAGAAAAACTAAGATCATGGCCACTGGTCCCATCACCTCCTGGGAAATAGAAGGGGAAGATATGGAGGCAGTGACAGATTTTACTTTCTTGGGCTCCATGATCACTGCAGAAGAAAGCTGACCGCCGAAGAACTGATGCTTTTGAATTGTGGTGCTGGAGGAGGCTCTTGAGAGTCCCCTGGAATGCAAGGAGAACAAACTTATCCATTCTAAAGGAAATCAACCCTGTGTGCTCACTGGAAGGTCAGATCCTGAAGCTGAGGCACCAATACTTTGGCCATCTCATGAGAAGAGAAGACTCCCTGGAAAAGCCCCTGATGTTAGGAAAATGTGAAGGAAAGTGGAGAAGGGGACGACAGAGGACGAGATGGTTGGACAGTGTCACCGAAGGTACTAACATCAATTTGACCAATCTCCAGGAGGCAGTGGAAGACAGGAGGGCCTGGCGTGCTCCGGTCCATTGGGTCACGAAGAGTCGGACATGACTAAACAACAAGAAAAGTGATGACAATGATGGACATTAGGAAAATGTGAAGGAAAGTGGAGAAGGGGACGACAGAGGACGAGATGGTTGGACAGTGTCACCGAAGGTACTAACATCAATTTGACCAATCTCCAGGAGGCAGTGGAAGACAGGAGGGCCTGGCGTGCTCCGGTCCATTGGGTCACGAAGAGTCGGACATGACTAAACAACAAGAAAAGTGATGACAATGATGGACATGTTTAGTAGAAATCTGCTGAGTCTCTATACATCTGATGCAATCCAGGTAGCAAGACTGCATCAGCAAGATGGATATAAAAGCAACAAAGTTGGTACCATGCTTCTGTGGGTGAAGTTTGAAAATCTGCATGTGATGCTATCGGTTTGATGTCTGGAATGCTGTAAATAGTTGCTGTAAATATTTTCTAAAAGTACAAGATAAAAGCCTTCGCTGAGAAAGACAACGGTTTGTCTGCGAGTTTTATTGTTGAAATCTCTCAGAGTAAAAATCCCACTGTGTCTTATCTTTTACTGCTCTCTGGAGAAGAGAAAGCCTAAATTTTCTTTCCGGGACTCCTAACTACTTAAAAGTGATTTATCGTCACACACATCCTGACAGTCTCCACCCATCTGTCGAGGGGAAGGGACGTCCGTCTCTCGCAAGGACCTCGCTCTCACACCCCCATATTTTCCCTCATTCCCCAGGTTCCCTCACCTCTCCTCAGCAGCGTCTCCTTCCCATAGTCCAGGTATCTCTGCAGCCACTCGATGCAAATCTCCTCCAGGTAGTCCTTTCGTCTCTGGGCAAGGGTCGGATCCTTCTCCCACTTCTCTTTGGTGATCTGGGCCTTGGGACAGGCTGCTGTCCAGGTGAGGGTCTCCTTGTCGAGGGCGATGTAGTCCCTCCCATCGTAGGCGAACTGCCAATGCCCTCCTGGGCTCCCGTCCTCCGTCAGCTCACAGCCAAGCATCTCCTGCGCAAACTGCCAATGTCCTCCTTTGCTTCCGTCTTCCGTCAGCTCACAGCCAAGCATCTCCTGCAGGGAGTGAAAGCCTGGAAGGGACCCACATGGGGGGGGGTTTGAGAGGAAGAGTGGAGAGGAAGAGAGGAGTCCCTTTCACCTCTCAGCCCCACTAGCTAAACCAGCTAACCCCACAGATGCAGGATGCCAAGACACAGAGACTTTCCACTATGGAGGGGCTGCTTAGGGGGAGAAAAAGAGCCCATTTGATGGGGTGTTCCCCCCATTCCCTGCCTCTCTTTTTGCCACTGGGAAAGAAATCTCAACAGGGAGACACCCCACAAAGAGAGGTGGGGGCAGAGAAATGGCACCCGTAGAAGGGCAGGTGCCCCCTGCTGCTCCCCACTGCGGCCTCTGGGCACATAGCAAAGAGGGCCAGGAGACAATCGTTGCCCCATTTTCCAACACACCAGCCTGGGGCTCCCCTTTGTAACACACTTTTATGTACCTTCCCTACATCTGCCCCACATTTCCTCTCTGCCTCCCCACTTTCACTCAGCCCACCATGCAAAGATTCAGCAAACTCCCGCTCCAGCTCTCTCCCCGGCCGTCCCCACAGGGCCTTCGGGATGTCCCTCCATTGCCTCCCCCCACTGGTGTGATCCCCTCGGCGACATCTTAGCTCCATTTTCCGGTACCCATAAAAGAGGAAAACCAAGGAATCTCGTCTGTTCTCCTTCCTCCGGAAAACGGTATTCCATGGGGGAGATCTGGGAGAATCCTTGGGGAAAGAATCCTTCCTCAGGTCAGGGAGTATCCAGAGAACAAGGAGGATCCCCCTCCCCGCTCTCCCCTCCCCACCCACTTCCACAGGGAAGAGGGGCAGCCATTTCCCACTTTCCGAGAAGGAGCCCTGACTGCCCTTTTCCCTCCATTAACTCAGGAGCTGCTGCTTGGAGGGAGGAAAACCCACACATTCTGGAGCTTCTGCTTAGAAAAGAGGCTCCATCTTGCCCAAGATGAGAAGGGCAGAGGATTTGGGGCAGAGAGAACGGAGATCTGCTTTACCACCAAGCGAAATGGCTATAGTGCTGTGGCCTGAATTCAGGCAACTTTCACCTAAGCCGGCTGCCAACTGGTTCTGTCACAAAGAGATGATCACCACCGGCTTGAATTTTCCCCAAGAGATAAACTTGACAAGATGAAACACATACACAACCACACACCAGTGCTGGCAATACAGGTATCTCATGTATATTGTCCTTCTGCGAACCCTCCACGTAAGAAATGGCCCCACAGGGCCAGAATTCTTGACCCTCCCAGTCGTCAACGTTAAATACAGTGGTGCCTCACTTAACGACGTTAATTCGTTCCAACGAAATCGCTGTAGAGCAAAAACGTCATAAAGCGAAATTTAAAAACCCATTGAAACGCATTAAACCCCGGTTAATGTGTTCTAATGGGCTAAAAACTCACCGTCCAGTGAAGATCCTCCATACGGCGGCCATTTTTGGTGCCTGTATAGCGAGGAATCCATCCAAAAACACAGGCGGGAGCCATTTTGAGCACCCGGCGGCCATTTCGAAAACCCGACAATCAGCTGTTTTGATTGTTGTCATGCGAAGAATCGGTTTCCGAAGCAGGGAACCGATCTTCGCAAAGCGAAAAAAAAAACATTTAAAACATTGTTTTGCGATCACAATTGTGATCGCAAAAACATTGATGTGAACCGGATTCATCGTAATACGGGGTAATCGTTAAGCGGGGCACGACTGTATCACTCAAGGATTCCCAGCACACTGGGAAGGGTCAAATCCTGCAAAGTTTCTCCCAGTTGGCCACTTGCATCAAGAATTGCATTGTTATCTCACAGACTGATAGACAGTAACTGCTAACTGAAAGTAGGGCTTAGCGACACATCATCATACTGAAATCTAACAGTTAGTCCTCAAGGTGCCACAATACATTTGAGAGCATGCGGAATGGGGAAACCATCGCTCCCTCTTCTGCCCACCACTCACCTCCGCTCTGGTTGTAGCGATTTCCTAAGATCACCAGGTTCTCTCTGAATAGCTGCTCCGAGTTCTTAAACATCTCAGTGCTCTGCTCCTGATACCAGGGATCCTCCTCCTCCACCTTCTCGATCCAGGGCGCTCGAGGTTCCGTTTTCCGGGTGTTGCTGTCGTACTGGACAAAGAGCTGGCCATCCACGTACCCCACAGCGATGAACTGGGGCAGCCCCTGGTTGGGTTCAGACACCCCTGTGTAGAAATACTTCAGGGAATGCGAGGAGGAGCCTGGAAAGGGACAGAGAGGGGGCAGAATTAGGAGGTCCTGCAAATGAGGAAAACACTCTCAAATACTCAGACTTCAGACAATGCACTCACTGAAACCCATCATCAGTATCCAAACTGCCTGTATCTCTTTATAACAGTGGTCCTCAACCTTTTCTGAACCGCGGACTGGTTGGGGGGGCGGAGTCCGTGCGTGGGTGGGCGGGGCACCCCTGAGTGCATGTGGGGGGCCATGCGTATATGTGGTGGGGTGGTGGCAGGAGATCTGTCTCCCCGGCCCAATCTTGCCAAGGCCATGGCCCAGTACCGGGCTGCAGACTGGGGGCTGGGGACCCCGGCTTTATAATGAACAAATGCACAAACAGGGGGAGAGAATGGGTCGTCTTTATAAGCAAGCACAAAACACACCTCGACAAAGGGCAAGAGGCAGGAAATGAGGCCAGCAAGATTGCCAACAAGTGCAGAACTGGGTAAAGGGATCAAGGATGTCTTTGGGGCAAAGAAGGGGCACGGGGCAGAATTAAAAAGGGGGTCCAAAGGCAGGATGCTGGAGGAAGCCTGTGAAAGAGGAAGGTGGGACCACTGGGTTGGAAAATGTACCACCAATTAGCAGAGGGTTTCCTGAGGGCGGAGGAGGTTGGAGAAAGAGAAAGAGGGGGGATGAGGAGAAACTGAGGTTGGGAGGAGTGGGAGAATGCTGGGGTAAAAGAGGAGGAGGGAAAACTCATGCTGAGAGGGGCAGAAGGGCCATTGTATGTGTTCTCCTTTCCCCAAAAGAGGGAAACAAAAGAAGAAGCAAGGAAAATATCCCAAAAGATTCTGGAGAGCGCGGGAATTGAGTACAGCTGGGTGAATCGGAGTCTGTGGAGTGGACCGTTTATGTCTATCTGCGAAGGAAAGGTCCTTGGAAGAAGGTGGTGTGCCAAGATCCAATAATGATGTCCTCAACTCCACCCGAAGGAGATTGGGCTCGACACCCTTCCTGCGGGACTATCTATGCTGCGAGGAGTCAGCCCCTTATGGAAACTGACCGATAGAGAGACATGCGGGATGTCCGCACGTTGAAGGACTGTTGAGTTATGCCAGCCTTAACAGAAAGGTGGCCTGAGGTGTCAGTGATTGCCGGCTTCGTTGGACCCACAGAAGTTATTGTTCATCCTACACCGTTCAAGAAAAATAAAAAATGGCTAGATGTTAATCCGTCTCCTGTGATAACTTATTATAAAGCGGAGGAACTGCCAAGTCCAGAACAAGAACTCCGTCACACCAAGTGGCCACTGTGAGGGAAGGGCAGTTGGGGTATGCACAACTTGCCCCCGCTTCTGTTCAGAATCGAAGCAAGGAAAGTGGCTTTTTTTTAAAAAATGTGGCCGGTGCACTGATAAGTTGCTAAAAGGATGTCACAGAGCAATGCGAGCCATTGCTGCGGCACCAGCATTTCGACATAGCACTTTTCATCGGTCATTGTGACAAGACAGTCAGGGTGGGGGGGTGGAAATGGCAGGTTGAGCTGAAAGGCAGACGGTGGGGGAACTAGTCAGACCAAGGTGATTCTGCAGGAGCAGCCAGTGCAACAGAGGACCTGCTTCTAAACCAATATATCAACTGATATATTCAACCGATCTATCCCTTCCCAATATATCAATCTCTCCTCTCTCTCTCTCTCTCTCTAATTCAAGGGGCTCAACTTGAAGCAAGAGAGAAAATGAACCAGTACCATGGTGTATCCAGCCATAATGATTCAAATAGAACAAAAGAAGTTGTTTTCACGTAGATCCCACCTCACCTTGAGACACCTTCCTCATCACTGTTGTGGGTTTTCCAGAATGTTTGGCTGTGTTCTTAAGGTTTTTCTTCCTAATGTTTCACCCGTCTCTGTGGTTGCGAGCTGGTGGTGACCATCGAGCTGCCTTTGCTGAGCTCCATGGCCCAAGCCCAGCTGGAGATCCGCGTGCGGGAGCTGCAGCTTGACGGGGCACCGAATCACGGCTGCAGCAGTAGTCCTGCAGGTCCATGTAGGAGGGCTGCCGGAGGGTCCAGTGCGGGGTGGTGGCATTGGGGGCAGCATTGGCACAGCCCAGGCCCGGGGGGAAGTGCTTCTCGACTGCCTGCAGGGCCATGTCCTGGACGAGGCGATGGAAGCAGGCCGAGCAGGCGGCCAGGCGGAGGGTGTCCAGGTGGAAGAGCACATCGTAGACCAGGTGGCGGGAGCCCCAGGGCTGGTGGCGGCTCAGCTCCTCGCTGCCAGGGGCCAGCCAGTGTGGCAGGAACCAGCGGCTGCCACTGGGCGGCACTCGGGCTGCCCCACCGGCTGGTGGACACAGAAGTTGAGGTAGCACCAGTGGAGGCTCAGGTAGAGGAAGCAGGCCTCGACACCCCGCTCATACTCCAGGGCTGTCTCCTTAGCGGTGTACTTGGCAAAGAGGGCACGGAAGCCCTCATCCCGGAAGGCTTGGCTCAGGCGCGCTGCCCATCAGCTTGAGGTCCTCCAGGCTTAAGCGAGCCACCATGGCGAAGCCACCTCTCCTCCACTCAAGGCCAGGCTCGCCCAAGAGGTGGGCATGTCATGCGCAAGCGCGATCGTCATGTCACACTTGCATGCATGTGCACAAGCTCGACACACCCACCTGCAAGTGTGACACACCCATTCATGAGCATGGGGGTGCCCCCACCCCCCCAACCGGTCCGCACACGGAGCCCGCATCCTCCAAATGGTCTGTGGTCCGAAAAAGGTTGGGGACCGCTGTCTTAAAGGAATGACTGAAAAACTGCCCGCAGCTGAATCCATGACTTGTACTGCTGTTCTGTCAAACCCTGCTGGTTGGTCTTCAACATGCACTCTGTGCATGCTATTTTTCCTTACATCCTAATTATTGTTTGTGAGTCTCCTTGCTACTGCACAAATGCACCTTAGCAAGTTACTTTTCTTATTTTATCTTGCCAGCATTCCCAACAATTTCCTGTTTCTTCATTGTGAATAATTTGGCTTTTTCCATCTTCTAATTAAAATTCTGCAGTTGGGGACCCATGTGCAGGTACAGTGGTGCCTCGCACAACGAGTGCCTCACACAACAATGAATTCACATAACGATGTCTTTTTCTGATCAAGTTGCTGCCTCACACAGCGATGTTTCCTATGGGGGCGCTGGAGCAGAAGGGGGGCAGTGGGGGCCGTTGGAGCAAGCCAAACCTGTGAAGATGAATTAAAATTCTGCAGTTGGGGACCCATGTGCAGGTACAGTGGTGCCTCGCACAACGAGTGCCTCACACAACAATGAATTCACATAACGATGTCTTTTTCTGATCAAGTTGCTGCCTCACACAGCGATGTTTCCTATGGGGGCGCTGGAGCAGAAGGGGGGCAGTGGGGGCCGTTGGAGCAAGCCAAACCTGTGAAGATGGCTACAGCCTTTTTACAGTGTGCATGAATATATATTTTCCTCCAATCTTAATTTAGTTTCAGAGTTTTTGTCTTGAAATTTTTAGTTCCTGCATTTGTTTTTATGCCCTTTTTATATTTCTTTTTGCGTCTTAAAATTCACTTGCAACTAAATCATTAAATGTTACTTTGGGGGGGGGGCATTTCAATTTCTTGGAATTTAATTTTGTCCCGTTTCCATCCAAAACCCTTCTCTACCTTACCCGAGTACTTACATCTCACCAGCAAGGTACTTCTTCCATCCCAGCCCCGATTCCAATTTAGGCCCATCCTGATGTGCGGGGCTGGCACACAAACACACAACCACTCCCCCCCCCGTGCTCCCCGGACCCTAATCTTCATCCCACATCTGAACTCGATCTGACTCCCATCTGGATGCAGGGGATGCTGCCTCGTCCTGACGACCGCAGGACCCAGAGAAACCAAAAGAGGGCGCCCCCTAAAGGCTCGCTGTCTAAAACTACGCCGACACTCCGGGTTACTCCGGAGTGTGACACACCTCATGTTCTTTCAGCCTTTGAGACCAACAGCCGTTGAAAGCCGAAAGGAGACTGACTTCGGATTAAATTGAGGAACTCACACGTACACCCTTCCCCGATGGCGCGCCCTGAAGTGTTTTTATCCATCGAGGGCAAAAGCGTATAGAGGCAGAGGGCAAACGGACCAAGAAAAGGGACTGACTCCGGATATCCTTCGCAAAGTAAGAGCTCGACGCCACTTCTGCGGTTCTCTTCCCCCCCCTTTCCCACGTTACTCACCCTCGCAGGCCCCCAAGAGAAGGAACAGCGCCCGCAGGCGGCCCCATTTCATTGTCAAGGCCGAACCTCGTACTTTTCCAACCGGATTGAAATTCTTAATCCGGAGCCACGCCAGACACTCCGCAACCGTAGCCGGAGCTCCTCCGACCCCAGCCTATTTCAGACCGAACAGCCAGGATTGGTGGAGGGGAAAATCCTTGGCCAATAGGAAAAAAAGAGCTCCGGCCTTCGTCAGGAGTTGCTATCTCGATTATCCCCGGTCGGAGAGCTTTTGAGGACTGGCAATGGAAAGAGAAACTTCGCAATCAAAATGGATCCCCCTCGTCTGCAGCGAGGCTTGGGGTGCGGGGTGGGGGTGAAGAAATGAGGGGCACGTAGGGGAACACCGACGAGGAAAGAGGGGGCGGGAAGAGAGAAATAGGCGTGGGCGCCCGGCGGGGGAGGATGGGCTTTTTTTTAGAGGGGGGGGGACGAAGGACCTGCCTCACCTTCAGTGCCCGACGTGGGAACGCAAATGACGACCTGGTCAAGGGGGCAAGCGGAGCCCTGTGGTTTGGGGGTCCCTTCTTGCGGGGGGGTCTGTCCTCCCCCCCGCCATACAAACAATCTTGCCCCAAATCCTAGCGATCTCTAGGGCCTGCTTTCCCTGCTCGTAAGGACCTGCTTTTCTCTCCCCCCCCACACACACCGTCCCCGCAGGTCCAGGAAGGGGGTCTCCCCACAGGCGGGTGGCGCCCCTTCGGGGTCGGCAGGGAGGAAGGCACAGCCAAACCCCCGGACGCGAAAGGGCCTCTCGCATCTGCCTTCACACGTACGTGCAGCTGGAAGACCCAGCTCCATCCCTGAGCCTTCCCTGCCTCTGGCAAAGAGGAAGGCAGGCAGGACAAAAAGGACCAAAGCTGGGGGTTGGGTTGTTTTATTTAAACAATAAAACTAGCTTCCTTGTTATAGGCGCAAGTCATTTCCTCTGTCAAAACTCTGGTCTCAGAATTAAAAGTTGATTGTGGAAAAACAAACAAACCACTTCCTGATTCAACCTAATTCAACATTTCTAAAGATTGCAAACACCTGAGCAGCCATGGCCAGGATATTTACCGGCGAATAGTCATGATGCTCTTCTCGTTTTTAAAGTGCATTAGCTACGCCTTCACTTGGTGCTGGCCGTTTTTGGGGTCCCCTCTTTTCTGCCCAGCAGGGCCTGCACCAAATGGCTTCCATTCCAAACACGTTTCCCCCTCAGAAGGTTTCCGATCCAGAGGCTTGTTTTGAGTGAGGCCCCCCTCAGAGTCTAAGCCAGAAACCGAAAACAGCACCTGTTGAGCTGTTTGGCTTGGAAACAATGGAGAAAACACCTGCCAGAGAAACGAAGCTTTGTTTTCCTTCACTAGCCAGCCAGGGAGCCCGTTGTCCATGCAAAAAAGCTGCTCCCGGCCAGGCAGAAAACAAGCCGGCCGATTTTTTCCTCTCATGTGTTGTGGGCAGATGCTTCCAACACCCACCGACAGGCCTAACCCCCTCGAAGGATGAGGTTGTGAAGGGAAAAAGGGCCACATCCTGTGTGGTTGTGCTAACAGGTGCTTCTTTCAGGCTGTGCAGAAACTGTGGTTCTTGTTTTGCTACTTAAAAGCAAAAGAGTGGCCCATTTAGCTTTCCAGATTCAATTATATTTTTTGTCAAGACTTCAAGAACCGAGACTGTTTTTGTAGATGAATTAATATATGCAATTTGTTTTCTGTTCTACATCCAAATTTCTGGGCAGAATTTTCTCTCACGCCAGTCCAACAACCACCCAGTGAAGCTGATCCGAATGAGACACATAACCACTAGACAGTGTGTGTCACGGCTGAGGGGAGACTTGAACCCAGATCTTTTCCTATCAGCACCTTATAGTCTGCTCCACACAGTTCCAGCGAACACCCAGCTTTTGTCCCTTGTGGTTCCCCAAGAGAACTTTGCCCATGCTCTACGGTGCCCTCTTGGCCACCAAAACAACATCTGAATCCAGCCATCAAAGTACTCTGTGGTGTCCCCAGTGGACCTAACTACACTCCTGGATTTCTCTCTTCATCTGTTTCCCTACTCCATGCACTTTAAAAATAATAGTTTTAATGCTTTAAAAAAGTGGCTGCAACTCCTAGTGCTTATAAAGTCACCATTTTGAAGAGGAAGTTGCTAAATTTGAACATCAAACCTTTGGTTGTATTTCAATGCAATGGAATTTATAGCAAGAAAAATCAGATGCTTTCCAAGACATCAGACCAGGGCAGAGGACAGTTTGAGCAAGTCACAAGGCCCCACGAGTATCTTCACACACCCACATGGCCCAGGTACACAATGTTGTCATCGGCACCTTGTGCAATTGTTATTTAAATTGGTTTTAAGTCATATGACAGTCATGTGGGATTTGAATTATTGTGTGTGTTCCCTGGAGCAACTTTTAATATGTTTTTTTTTTAAGGAGCAGGCCTTGGCTTACTAGGTGGTAAGTGCTTGGCTAATACCAGCAACTGATGTTTGATGCTTAGCTAACAACACTTAGCTAACACCGACACTGGCACAGTCATCATTAGTATACCCCTTCCATCCTGTTTCTTGAATTCGGCTGGTCCTTCTGCAGCCCCTCCCATTTGGATGTCCGACTGGCGTGTACTGCATTCCCGATGAAGAGGGTCTGCCAAAGTTTAGTTGGGTTTTGGTAAGCAAAGCTGCATTGCCATGGCAGTTTCTCTTGCTTTTTGTAAGGCCTCCTGGGGAAGACTTTTTTCTCTCTGTGGTCGGCATCCTCAGAGGACAGCACACTAATCACCCATCTCCTTAATAGGACAAAAGTCTATTGCACAGCTATAAATACTCCACTCCCAAGCAAACTACACCAGAGCGCAGAGTGCTGTCCTCTGAAGATGCCGACCACAGAGACTGGCAAAACTTTAGGAAGAACATCCTTCAGAACATGGCCAAAGAACCCAAAAAACCCACAACAACCTCAGGGCCTTCCCTTCACTGCCATTTATCAGGCAACATTAGCGAAGCCACGCTTATGGATCATGGAGCCCTTGAGACCCAGCCTTGGAACTGATCTCTATAGCACATGTGAATGAGAGTGCCACCTTAGAATAAGCCCACACTCGGCTTCCCCCATCTTGGCACTTGGGGGTAGGAGCACAGCAATGCAGAGTTGGAGAAGGGATCCCCCCCCCAGGGGATGATCTAATTCAACCCACCACAAAGCAGGACATCCATGGCTAAAGCATCCTTGCAAGACGGACATGTCATCCAACTCCTGTTTAGAAACATCCTGTGAAGGAGAAGAGACCACCTTCTGAGGTCGTTTGCTCCTCTCTCAAACAGTTCGAACAGCCAGATGTTTATTTGAACTCTCATTTGTTGGAAATAAAATCCATTGCTTCAGCTCCCTGGAGCAGCAGAAAAGAAATCTGCATCATCTTCTGTGGGACAAAGCTTTTAATACCTTTGCAGAGGAAGTGCTCATACCACACCTCCGCTGGTGGGAAGATGGGGTGCCTGGTTAGTCGGGTCCTACTTTGGAGGTTGAAGGATACGCTGGGCAAAAGGCACATAACGGGCCACATGGGGCTTGGACAGGCCTACAGATATATGGCCTCTGGACCGCATTACCGACCTATGGAACAGCATCAAGGAATTATTAGGTTTGTTTCATGAACAGCATGACTGTGGATTTGGATCCCACCCTCAGCTCTTTCCCGGGTTCGCCAGCAAAAGATACATTTGTGCCTCAAAACCAAAGCTTTATTCACATGCCGAAGTGCAGATCCATACCCATGTTTTCTGGCATCCAGACCAGAGTTGGCAACTTACATTTCATAAGGGTTCTGCTCAGCCATCCCACAGGTAAAGAAGGCACCATCTCTGTTTAATCAGTACCCTTACCATTAATTAACAAACCAACAAAAACCCAGAGAAAATTATTCGCTTTCCCCCCTCTGTCCAGTAGAGGAAACAGCATCGGGGCCTAGAAAATGGGAATCAGGAGGAATGTATAAAGGTCAGAATTCATTTAGGTGAAGACCAAGTGCCTGTTTAGCTGAGGAAGGGGATTCCTATCCAGCAAAGCTCAAACTGAAATGAAATAAGGTAAGATGTTAGGTGGTCTTTCCACCCTATTAGGTGTAATGTAACAGAAGCTAGCTTTCTTCCTTGCACACTTTTTCATCTGGCTGGATGCCGGAGAGCTGGGGCTAGCCTAGCAAAAAAAAATGAAACTTCCAAAAAATCTGTTGGTCTTAAAACTGTCACAATGTACATTTGAGATATGCTTTTGCTCCCTGCAGGAGACTCTTTGTTTTGTCCAGAATGAGTCCGAAACCTATCCTTCTGCCTGGTTGATGGTGCAGGAGCGCCCTCTGGAGCCACAAAAGGCCACGGCCGTTTCTTTGCTCTCATGTGATTTCCCAGAAAAGGCAGAGCCCGGCAGACAAACAGGCATTGGCCAAGAAGTCTCCCAGGGAGCAGAAGAAGGGCCAAACTCCCCGCCCCTCCACTCCAAGCTGGAGAGCAGAAATTTTCCAGGCAAGGAAATCCACCAACGCAGAAGCCACACCTGTTGAATCTCTACCCACACCAGCACCTGCTGGGCTCCTGAGTCCCGGAATGGGAGGCTGGCGCTATTCCAGAGTCAGGAGCCGGCTTCAAAAAAAAAAACAGGGCATGGAGTGGCCATGAGCTGTTCTGGAAGGGGGAGCCAACCCCTCAGGCGGCAGGAAAAGAGAAGCAGGGGAGAGCCTCCTGGTCTCTGGCCTCCGGACCCGGAAGCCACAGGGCTGGCCCTTCTCCCCGCTTTCATGCAGAGGCTGTGATGAGTGCCCAGCCACCTGTCTCACTGCCCCAGGTGGCCTCCTGGATATTCGGTCAGCTCCCCGTGGGAAAAAAACCCACACACGTCTTCACCAAAAAAGGGTTTTTATTTAGGAAAAACAACACCTGTGTCTGCATCTTAGTGATAAAGGTTTATTTGGATGGAAGGTTCCTTTGGATATCAGCTGTTCCTTTCACCGGTCTTCTTTTTCTTTCTCTCCCCCCCCGCCCCCTTGTACAGCATCAATGTAACACGAAGGTGCACAGGAGTTTTTATTTTAAACTTACCAGAACACAGCAATACATCAGAAAAATAAATGCACTGTGCCGTATTGGTTTTGTATTGTATTTTTCTCTAAACATCCAACCAATTTCCCCCATTTCCGTGTTATTTCTGCCCGCTCCTTCCACACAGGTTTCTGCCTAGGGTTGTTGTTTTACTCCAAAAGCAAGCACCCATGAAATGACGGGACTGCAAAAGCCCAAAAGCAAACAATTAAAAGAAAAACACTTATCAACTCGCACCGTGAAATAAGTAGACATATAGAAACACAAAGGATTGAGAAGGGTGTCCACAGAGTGAGGTTGTCCCATCTCATTGTGAGTCGTTTAGGCAATTTTTGTTGTTGTAGATTTGAGTCTCCATTTCTTTGGCTGGCTTTCACCCCACAAGTGCCACTACCTCCTCCTCCCCTGGGTTCAGCCCTTGTCTTGGCTTCTCCATTCACTGACCACCATGCGCCAGTGGTCTGAGGAATGGGCTGGCAGCCAGATGGCCACTGCTGGACAGGTCCTGGCAGACAGAATAGGCCGGAGACTGTGGTCTCGCAAGAAGATGGCAGCCAACTCAGAGAGAAGAGACCAGCCACTGTCCATCGTCCTGGGAGGGTTTCCATGCTTTGCGTTAAGAATGGCTAGAAACAGCATTCCACAAGAGAGGGAGAAGAACCTGCCTCCAGATATTGCTGAACAGTTTCTCTTGTCAGTCCCTGACAGCAGAACCCGTGATGGACGACGGGAGTCTAATAACTGCTGAGAGGCCAAGCAGTTCCGTCCCCCAGAGGAAGAGTATATTTTAAAAAGGAGGCAGATCCCGAGTTCCTCGTGGGCGTTTCGGCCTCTGACTCTAGTCCACTGGCCGCACCATTGTAGGCATTTAAGGTGACCTAGCAAGGCTCCATGACGCTGGAGGTCCCTTATTTCTGCCCATAGCAATGAAGGGCAATGGGAAAGGCCATATGCCAATGTGACGATGTCAACTGACCACCTGGCCAGTCTCTGTGTCGAGACAGGAGATCCTCCAGAGCCTTGTCTGTAGGTGACAAAAACAGCCTGACAGTCTTGCGGAAAGGCTGCGCCCTGGCTGTGTAGAAGGCTAGGGCTCGCCTGACCTCCAGCGAGTGCAAGGATCTCTCCAAGGGGGAAGAAGGAGATGGATGAAAAGCAGGCAGAATAATTGGCTGGGAGAGGTGGATGCAGGAATGAACCTTAGGAGGTGACTATATACGCTACCGACTTGTCTTTGTAGAACTGAAGGAACGGAGAATCGTGACGAAGTGCAGGACGTTCTCCAGCTGTCCTGGCAGAGGTGACGGCCACGAAGAAGAAGAGAGTCTTCAGCATCAGCTGAGTAGTCGCCAGTGGTTCAAGAGGAGCCTGCATGAGGCAGTGAAGAACCAAGGTAAGACACCACTGATTTGGGGGGGGCTGGCAGACATCTGGAAAGAGGTTGTGAAAAGAAGCCGGGGATTCCCAGGGTTGACTGGCCACAATGGCTGCAAGTTAAACTCAAACAGTAGAAAAGCAGAGTTCCTTCTTTCAGGCGAGGAGGAACTCACAAGATGGAAGGGTGGCTGGAGAACCGAGAAGCCTTTGGAGGCCACGAAGGAGGTGAATTTCTTCCATTTATGATGCAGCGCCTGGTGGATGGGCACCATGAGCCCTGGAGGACTTCTGTCAACACAGGGAAAACCTCCAGGCTGTCAGGGCAAGTGTCTTGTGGGTCTGGATGGAGGATCTGGCTGCTGCTCTGAGAAAGGATGTTCGGGAGTGTCAGGAAGTGACGGGAAGTCCTGGAACTCTGGAGGACAGCTGCAAGCCATTTCTGTTGAGGCCATCAGGGGGTGATCAGGATGATGCTGATCTTGTCCCAAAACAATTTGATGACCACCCTGAGTAGAAGGGGAAGCGGGGGGGGGGGGAGATAGAAGAACCTTCATTTCCATCTGAGAGCAAAGGCGTCTCCTAGAGAATTGTGTCCTAGGCCACCCCTTGAACATACAAGGGTGCATTTCAAATTCTGGAAGGTAGTGAAGAGGTCAAACTCTGGTAGGCTCCAGCGAGAGGTGATGGAGTGGAAGATGGTCACGTTGAGCTCCCATTCATGAAGCTGAGACCGAGTGCAACCGAGAGAACCAGCCAGCAGATTGTCCACTCCGGGTAGGTGGATAGCAAGTGGGAAGATGTGGTGATCCAAGCACTATTTCCAAAGGTGAATTGGTATGTACAAGAGACGTAAGGAATGAGTAGCAACTGCCTTGTTTGGTCATATAATATATGGCACTTGTGTTGTCTCTGGACGCCAGAAGTATGTCCCCCTTGAGAAGTGGTAAGAATGCCTTGAGTGCATTAAAAATGGCCAGGAGTTTGGGCTCATTTATAATGCAGTCCTTGTCCGGGGGTGCCCAACGAGTGTGCATGTGGATACCTTCACAGTGGGTGCCCCACCCTGACAGGCTGGCATTGGTGGTGAGTTGAAGCCTCAGACGGAGTGGGCGAAAACTGAAGCAAAGTGTGTTGTTGTTGACCTGGGACCTGCACTGCAGTTGAGAGCTGAGCTCTGGGGTGACACAGAGAAGCTTGGTTTGGGTCCCCCTGGAGAGGGTCAAACTGAGTGAGGAACCACGCTTGGAGAGACCTCTTACAAAGCTGGGCATGTGGGACAACGGAGGTGGTGGATGCCATAAGGCCCAGCAGCATTTGCGCTTGTAAAGCTGAGACAAGCACATTCAGGGAGAAAGCAGTGACGAGGGCAGTAATTTTGAGTTGTCTCTCTGCAGGGAGGAAAGCGCAGCCCGAATGGGAGTCCAAGATGGTTCCGATGAGGGGAAATGTTCTTCATGGGCGAAGAATGGACTTTTGTGGGTTGTTGCTAAGGCGGAGGTTCTGCAGAGTCCTGAGAGTAAATGGCTTGGGCCTGGAGGGCGCAACGAACAACCAGCTACCAATGTAACAAATAGACACTGATGCCTTGGGTGCGGAGGGAAGCAGCCAGCAGCGCCTTGCATTTTGTAAAAATCTGCAGAGTGGTGGAAAGGTCAAATGGAAGTGTTTTCAAACGGAGGGCTAGAGAACTGAGGGTGAAGGAGAGAAAACGTCTGTGGTTTGGACGGATGTATATATGAAAATAGGTGTCCTAAACGACTGCAAACCAGTCATAAGGAGGATCAGAGCACTGTAAGGGAGGCTTCTGAGCCGAGAACTCAAGTGCCTTGGCTTAGACGGAGGACAAGCTCCAAATAAGTCTGAAGGTCTGGAGAAGGAAAAGGGGGCGAGGGTCAGCAATGTCCGATTTTGGCTTAGTTATCAAGAACGAGACGGTAGGCTGTGTCAGAATCAGCAGAGTCATCCAAACCCAAAGACTGACTATGGCCATGCTGGGTCAGTTCCATTAGGTGGTGAGGTGATGGTGCCGGCAGAGCAGCAGTCGGAGCCGAGAGCCAGGTTCAAATGGTGAGTTGCTTGCTGGGGGGCAGCAAAGCTGAGATGGGACGCAAGCTTGAACTTGAGTGTTAGGTTCCATCTCCGGCAATGGGGGTGTGTGGGCATCCGTTGATCATAATGATGTCGACACCCCAGTATGGGGGCTGATGGGCCTTCGGATCAAGGGCATTGAGTGTGGTGGAGTCTGCAATGATTTGGTTCCAGAGGCTGGGTTCCTTTGAGAGCTGGATGCGGGGGCCTAGCATGAGGCTTTACAGCAGCTGAAGGAGCAGGAATAGGAGTCTGATCAGACTCGAGGGGCAGAGGCCTTGCAGCGGTGGATGAAATCTCTTTGCCAGTGCTGAGGCAGAGCACCCAGGAAGACCAGACGCTCCGCCTTGGCACTGACAGTGGCCGCAGGAGGTACCATGAGCTCAGTGAGAAATGACCGGTTCTGGTACCTGCTGGAGGAGGCCCACGGCGTTCCCTGAAGCATACTGGAATGCTCACCGAGTTAATGAGAGTGATAGCAAACAGTAGAAGCCTCGGTCTCAGACCAATCCTGATCCCGAGTGCCATCACCCAGTTGAAAGACGCCATGCTGATAACCTGGATATGGATCCAGGGGAGGAGTCTAGTTGGGGGGGGCTCAGTATCTGAAGAGTGCCCTTTAAGGTACCCTCACCCTCACAGCCCCCCGCCCCCGCCCAGACAGTCGAGACGAAAGGAACTGGTCTAAGATTGAAAAGTAGGAGCACCATGACCATGTCAATGAACAGGAAGTCACTACTTAAAGGGGTAGGAACTACAAAAAAGCAGTGAGGAGCAAAGAAGAAACTCCTCAGCAAAGGGTCGGTTGCACTGTAATTGCCATGAAGGGAGGAAGCGGTAGCTGATACATTTCCTGATGCCTTTTTAAAAATACAAACCAAGGTATTCCACTGACCTTCACGTGCTCTTACACTAGCGCTCTTAACTGTAAGCATCTACTCATTTCGCACAAAACGCGAGGAAGTGTAGCTACTCTTTGGGAGAGGCTGGAAGGTCTGGGTCAGGCTGTGACATCACTAATGAACTAACAATAGGGGCCACCACAACATATCCTTTTCCAACCAGATGAGGCAAAGGCTGATATGAATCGGTCTGGTACCTTTTGCTCCGGAAGTGGGTTTTTAAACTCTTTTTTTGAAGCTGGAATGATCTGAATGAACTTTTTCTCATGGGATCAACTGATTCTGTTTTGTAAAGGTGGGGGAAGGATGCATATGGGTGGTCCAGTGGTGAAGTAGGCAGTTAGGGGTGTGATGTTCAGAACCACGGAAACACCTGCCCCTGCCTTCTTTCCCCCTCAATCATTCTCCTTTTATCTTTTTTGTTTTACATTCTTGAGATTAGTGTCCTTATCACCTGAGATTATCACCTTATCACTAGTACTGATATACTAATTTAGCACTAGATAGTTTCCAGATGAGGAAAAAGGAATTGCAAACAAAACAGAAACAGCCCAGATGAAATAAAAGATGTTCCTGTGTTATGTGTTGTCCCTATGCCAAGAACCAATTTGGAACACTGTACAACCCTTTCATTCGTTCGTTCGTTCGTTCGTTCGTTCATTCATTCATTTACTTATTTATTTGATTTTTACCCCGCCCCTCTAGACCATGTCTACTCGGGGCGGCTTACAAAATAAAACAAAACAATATAAAAATATATAAAATCATAGCTATGAGTCTTGACAGTGAACCATAAAAGGATTGGCAGAGGAAAGAACAGAGGAAGGAAGAAAGGAAAGAATGGGCAGCGAGTTGGAATATGACTTCAATCACATTGAGCGTGAACACTGATCTCCTGAAGCATTTCGCAGCCCTTGTGTGCGATCAGTGATTGCAGATTTAGCCACAAGACAGGCTGTGACGTGAACTGCAGCAAAGTGATCCAGCTGGCCAGTGTAGTCACAGCCTGAGCTAAGGGGATGTACATGAAACCCTTGAGTTCTTTTGCCCTTCTAATTAAGATGGCTTTGGATCCCAGAAACCAGTCGGGAAAGACGTAAAGAACATTGGAGGTGGAATCGGCCCAAGTCCTCCTCCTCCTCCCCCTGTTCTTTTATTTATTTATACATTTATTTATATTATTTGACTTCTACCCTGCCCCTCTAGGGACGTGGTGGCGCTGTGGGCTAAACCGCAGAAGCCTGTGCTGCAGGGTCAGAAGACCAAGCAGTCGTAAGATCGAATCCACGCGACAGAGTGAGCGCCCATCACTTGTCCCAGCTCCCGCCAACCTAGCGGTTCGAAAGCATGCAAGTAGATAAATAGGGACCACCTCGGTGGGAAGGTAACGGCGTTCCGTGTCTAAGTCGCACTGGCCATGTGATCACGGAAGATTGTCTTTGGACAAAACGCTGGCTCTGTGGCTTGGAAATGGGGATGAGCACCGCCCCCTAGAGTCGAACACGACTGGACAAAAATTGTCAAAGGGGAACCTTTACCTTTACCTTACCCTGCCCCTCTAGACAGAGTCTACTCGGGGCGGCTTACAAACAGTTATAAAACATCATAAAATATAATCATATAAAATAATCATTATAACTATAAAAATATATTTCAAAACAATAACATGATTAAATCAATAAATTTAATTCATTTTTTTCAATTAAAAAATCAGCTTTCTACTTCTTTTTTTAAACTGTTTGATTACCCTCTTGGTTTCAACTTAATCTAAATTATTCGAAGACTATCAGGAAACCGAGACCAACTGTAAAATACATCCCCTCTTTCAATTTCCTTCTGTCTTGGACGTACATTCAGCACACCTGAAAAAGTAAACATTTCCATCACTTCCCATATTTTCTCAGTATGCTTCTTGTTTCCATGGCTCTGTTTTCTTCCAATTTTTGGAAGAGAAGGAAGAATTCAGAACAGTAATCCAATTTTTAACCTCACACTTCCTGACTGTTGTAGCTAAATAGCTTACTGGGTAACCATCCCATCTATGTTGCCTGGCATTGCACTCAATATACACAGTTCTGGAGTTGATACAGGTTCCTTTAACTGTTGTTTAACATCTGATTTATCTTCCATCAAATCTTCAATCTTACTGAGATGCTCATTTACCTGCTGCAATCCTGTTATTATTATCCTTTGCATGGTAACCTGCCATTCTTTATCGAACAAAGTCCCCGACAATTGATATTTAAATTTTCCAGGGGTCATATCCATCTTTCCAAAGAGTA